TATATATATATATATATATATATATATATATATATATATATATATAGGGTATAATGTTAAGTATGCCCAGGTAATTATTCCGTAAATATAAGAGATATCAAAAACCTTCACACTGATATCAAAAGTACAAAGTACAACTCAACTCAACTAAAGCCTCTCTACGAATGTTATATTAAGGCATAGGAGCGTTTAATGTTAAAAGTTTGGATATTTCTAGTTTTATTTAAAAAAGCTATTGATATAATTTTACCCAATAGGTAACGTACTTTCGATAACAGTTTAAAGGTTTTATTTTGCTTATATATAGATATTTTCGGGATCATCGCATGGGCACACTTAACGATTACACTCTGTATTATATTTTAAATTACCTAAATAGGGTTCAGATAATTTAAAATAACATACATGCTTGTACATAAACATTACGTGAATTGAGCGAAGTCATGTACTTATACATCAATATATACTAAGTTTATTAAATATATTTTATTTTTATTTACGCTAGAGTAGAAATGAGTAGTCATAATAGGAATGAAACTATTTTTCCGGATTTAAATCGCGTATATTTGTTTTTTCAAACAAACCGACGTTTTACATATTGGTCACGGTTGACATCAGTCAACCGTGACCAATATGTATAACAATCGCGAAAACCTAAGAACTCGAGTAGTCATAATGTTATCAAATGTTGTCAATCGCTTATGTAAAACAACACACTACGTATTTTGCAACTGATGCTAGTAAAAGTTCTTATTCATTCTACAGATTTAGCTATGCACCTCACTTTTCAATTGCATCAAGAATTGTAGCACTGAAAATATCTATAAATTGATATTTGCATAATAAACCTAATATGAAAAAAGTTATACATGCAAGAAGAAGACGAACTGATAAAATAGTCCGTCGCTACAGTTTTGAAGTAGAAGTATACTTACGCGGCTTCATTGATGACGAGACCCTTAGGATTTTTCCATTGCGGTTGCGTGACCAGTCCAGGATCAGGAGCATCAGCCTGACAGGTTAGCACCACAGATTTGCCCACCGCCACTGTCTGCTGTTTCTGCACTGGAAATATCCTCAGATCTTGTGCTGAACATCCTGTTAACAAAAAAAAGAGATTTAGGTAAAACTTCAAACGCATCGACCTAAACAAGGCATTAGACACGCAATCCACACACAAGTACCAGCTGGGATAATAACTCTAAATTAAAGTTGCATCGTGCTGATTGTTTGAATTTGCCATTTCTAACCGACTTAAAAAAGGGGAGGTTCTCAATTTGACTTAGATGTTTTGTGAATGTTACGCGATTACACCGACATTTGTGAGCCGATTTCGATTTTTTTTTTCTTGTTGGGAGGATACTTCAGCGGTAGGTAGTTAAAGAAGAAAATATTGCACCTCTAAGAGTGGCAAAATAAGGGATGGATCCAGTTTTTTGGATTTCACCCACTTTCCGTTAAACCGCTTGAATAAAACTTGACAAATAAATGTAATCCCAATTGTGAGATTGGTATTTTTTTTTAATAAAAACTAATACTTGGCATCAACATCAATGGCGAGTATCTAACGCACTTACGATTCGCCGATGATATAGTTCTTATGGCTGAGACCTTGGGAGACCTGAACATAATGCTCGAAGATATCAGTAGTGTTTCCCAAAGAGTGGGTCTTAAGATGAACATATGGATCAGAAACGTGGTCCCTCACTATGGGCCTCATAAGAAGGCTCAAGGTCACTCAGCGGGCAATGGAGAGAGCGATGCTCGGTATTTCCCTACGTGATGAGGAGAACTAAGGTAAGCGACATAGGTCGAAGAATTGCACAGCTGAAGTGGCAGTGGGCGGGGCACATAGCTAGGAGAACCGATGGTCGTTGGGGTGGAAAGGTTCTTCAATGGCGACCGTGCACCGGACGACACTCAGTGGGTAGGCCCCCCACCAGGTGGACCGACGATCTGGCAAAGGTCGCGGGAAGCCGATCGATGCGGGCAGCGCAGAACCGATCGTCGTGGAGATCGTTGGAGGAGGCCTATGCCCAGCAGTGGGTGTCATATGGCAGAGTGATAATGATGATAATGAAAAAGTAATAATTATTTTAACTATTAACCAGTAAGCCAAACTTTTAATATGAACCAAAAAACAAACAAGTTCTATTTCGTAACAGTCCCTAGTCTTAATCAAGTTTACCAATGCTCAGCACGTGATCGTCAGTAGGTTCGTTAATGAAGATATTCTTACTCGATGCAAGACTCCGTTAGCTAATTGTATTTGGTTGCCCCTTTTTGTGGTTCAACTGACACTAATGGGGGAGAACGGGTAAGCTCTGGAGAATTTTGTGTGTAACAAAAGTATAAAATTGCTTACTTAACAAGGTATTGGATATATCGAGGAAACGATAAAGAAAAAAAAAGATGGGTGGAAACAAAATTTAGTTATTGAGATCGCGTCATTATTAAATTACGTATTTATAGACCAATCACAGACCGTGAAATCTCCAGTCATTAAAGACTAAAAGATCAGAGAAGTGTAGTCTACCACTTCTAATTTTCTCTCCATAACTTCAACTGAAACAGAAATAATACGTAATTTGGTTTGATCTTATATGACGTCACTAGAGGCGGGAAACGGGCTACACAAAAAGCTTAATATTTGCGATGTCTTCAAAAAGGAAACATTCGTATACTCCACAATTCGCAAAACACAATATGTCTGCGACTTCCTAAATGTAACTATATCTTTTATATTATACGGCGTTTCAAGTGTCGGCGAACCTACTCACGAAGCGTTTCGTTATTCGAAGGATTCTCCGTGGATCTCGTGCCTGAAAGCTTACTAGGATCTAGGTATACCTTTGCGCAGGTATAATTTATAAATAAAGTTGCAACATTTTCAATACAGCTGCATCGTTAAGCTTAGGTCGAAAATCAAGCTTGTGTAAAATGCGAAATACAACGTAGCATATTTAATAAGAACTTGTCTAGATAGATAAAGTGTAATACACAGGTTTGTCTATACACCCCTAAACACAGCATTTTAAATTATAAAACGACATTAGAAATTTTGTACAAATTTTATTATAAAATGGTTCCTATAACATTTTTTCAAATTTTTCTGGTTCATTTAAGATTGTCTTTATAGAAATAGAGATGACAAGTGGCACGTAATTTTCTATGAGTGTAGATAATTTGTAAAAATGAAAATGGGAATACATAGAAATACATGCGATGTTAAACATCTAATTACGCACAAAGAAGAAGGGATTACATGCTCCCTGATACGCTAAACACATTACATAAAGACCTTCAAGAAGAAACTATTATAAGATGTAAGAATGGGAAACAATGCAAATACAGGTTGAAGGCAGTTTTCGTCAAACAATACTCCAGCACTGTTTGATGAAAAAATTGTTTAACTATTAATATTATTGGTTATTGTTGTTAGTAATAGTATCAGTTAATGTTGTTTATTATAATTTGTTTTGTTTAATATTTTATTTTTTAATTTAATATTTTTGTTTTTCTAAAAATAAAGCGCATTAAGCTGTGCGATGGCTGTAACCACCTACATATAAGCACGTTAAAGGGATTGCAGAAAGGTAGGTTAAATTTAAGAACCACTGTACATTGTTTTGTTATGGAAAATTAATGAAAAAAATGTATAAATATTTGTACATTTCGAGTTCATAGGATTTCGCGATTATTCGCGTTACAATGATTACGGTATTGTACATTATTAAAGATGAAATCAGTCATGGTCTCAATTAAGAAGCAATCGTGGTCCCACTGAGCTTATTTTTGTAATGGGTCGACCAAGTCATAGTGGCGGTAAGTGACATGCCGATCCATAACAGTTGCAGTGTCACACAGAGCTTTAAATCACAAAGATCTGAGGGGCACTGACACTGCACCCGTCACCCTGAGACGTAAGTTGTAACGACTCACGGGCCTGTAATTGCACCAGCAACCTTAGCAATATGAGCACCTTGCTGCTTGGCGGCAGAAATAGGTAAGTCAGTACTTCCTTGGCAGAACTCTTTTACAAAGACCTCTACTACTACTACCGCTCTGAAGATTTGAATTTATGCAATACCTTTTGTTTCATTTTACATGAAATTAATTACATTTAATACATACATGTATACGTCATATCTGTACGTACATGTCCAATATTAATTAAAACTTTTTGTTTTTGATTTGCTTCGTTTGAAAAGTTTAGCAATTTGTTTATCAACATGTGTGGACTGACAGTTGTAAAGCAATTTTAAGCGTTGAAGTTAATTTTGCGCTTGAACGCAATCTAAGAAGGCTAAATATCAACTTGACTTCTGCTTACAGTTTGAAAGCATGGCACTTTAATAAAAACAATTTAAAAAGTTTTTTAACCATGTATAAAACAAAACAAACAAACAAAACAAACAATTTAATATCTCAACAGTGGAATATTTACAAAGAACATAAAGTGTAGATGTTATAATAGATTGTAATCCCGTTAACTGACAGTTCATTGAAATAAATTTTGTAAATCTGCTTATTAAAAGCGTTACTTCTTTGAATAGCACACTATATACATTTTGTAACATTGCGGTCTTATTTCGTACATCAGGGAGGCGGGTAGAATTTTTTACAGATGATTCGTATGCAGTCTTCGTGCGACGCCCCTTCAGAGTTTCCGACGTACCACACTGCGCTGCATTTTATAAGCCGACATAGTGTAAAGAAAAATACAGGATAGAAATTCAGATTTTTTTCCATGAAAAACAAACTTTTGTAAATATTGCGGTACAAGTAACGACGCATGCGTTCCCAGAACGATGTTATTTGTGTTCGGAAGTTTTAAAACGGTTTATTCTTTACGGTAAACAGAGTTGATATGAAAAATTGTATGAAATGAGAAAAGTTTCATTCATACAAGAATTTGTAGGCAATTTACGAAAATAAGTGTCTAAAACACCTATTTGTGACGAAAGTAAAAGTACATGAAACAATGTTTTAATAACTTTTATGCTCCCGAATAACAACTTTTATAAAGCAAATATAAAAGTATGTCGGAAAAAATGGATTTTATCTTTTAATTGTCATGTTTTGTTCATACATATACAAGCTCTTTTCCCATAAATAAGATTCACCATTTGTAATATGAAATTCACATCAAATGTCATGAAAATAAATAACATGCCTACTGAAAGATACTTATTTTTGATTTACAACTCATATTTCATAAACCTCCCACCAGGGGGTGAATGCGGAATTTTCACATAGTCAAAAAATAACTTTGACGTTCTTTTGTCCCATATAGATTGGCTAAGGGAATTTGTATTGAATTCCCAAAAGAAAGACCCCAAAGCTCGACGATAGAAAACCCGTAACTTGCTTACGATGTTACTTACAATTTTTGTTCCTGACATGCGCAATATGTAGGAAATCTTTGTGACAGAACACCGAAAATTATATTGAAAAAATTTCAATGCATTTGCTTCTTAATAATTTCTTAATAATCGGTGATGGTCAGAGTAAGCAACTATTGATGATTTCAGAATTGTACAGCGTTGAAAAACATTTCTATTCATCCTCGTATTTGCACAACGATCACTTAATACTTTTTAAAGGTAAAAGTGAAAATACAGATAATAGCGTTACATTATTCATTATTTTTACCCCTTGGGTACCATTCTATAAAACAACACGCACCTGCCGCAGAAGACACGTACCGTATCAAAAGCTTAACATGAATTTTACAAACATACCTTCAAGGCATCAACGAAATATTATCAACATTCGGGGTACGAGTACGCAGGGGACAATTCGCCAACAAGGGGACAAGTGAAATAAGCGAACAGAGGATTAAAGGGTTTGTGGAAAATTTGTATGCTTCATAACGGGCAAACATCCCTGCGCGGTTTTGTATTACCAATTATGTTCATTTAATTCGTAACAAGCGCTTTGGTTAGGATTTGCGGACGCGTGACGTTAAATTCATTAATAATGTGTAGGTGTTGTGTTACCTAATGCGCTTTAGCAGGTATTATAATGGATCATGAGTTATTTAAACTAGGAGCACAGGAAAAGAATTTGACCTTTGAAAGCAAGTAGTGAAGGTA